AACCACTTGTACATGAAATTTGTTTCTGTCCTTTCTTGTTTTATCTTTCAGTATTTTACAGAATAAGGGTTAAATTACTGCTGTTAGTAAATGTTGGGAGCATTGAATGGACATCGTATGTGCTTACACTGTGCTCCATGTTCTTCCTCCAGGTATTGAGCTCCTGGAATGTTTGTGTGTACGGAAGATGCACTTGGAGGTGCCTGTTCCAGGTGGTCTAACCAAGGTAGGCCAATTTTGGTAATGATGCTTCCTTACTGCTGCATGATTTATTTGCTTCAATCTTCTTCAACTCTGAAGTGTTTAGGGATGTGACTGCGACTGAACATGTGTAGCTTATAACAAGAACTTCGTTATAGCACAAAAATCATTGGCACTATAATTTCATAATGTTCCATATTGTGTGTGAAAATGTGAGTCTAGCAGTTGTGGCATCCTTGTCAGAACAAGCAATTCATAACTTGTTGTGACTTATCCTGTGATATTTTGGACTGACTGCGCTCGCAGTTTTGCTTCAGAACCTATTTGTAGCTTACAGTCCGTAAGTAAACCTTTAACCCTCGCTGTGACTTTCTCTTGTCTTCGAAAAAGAATATTGCCTGAATTCAGGACATCAGCAAGGGTGAAATTGGAGCTTAGTCTCCTTGTAAGTCCCTGAAATGCCATCCAGGAGAAACAGGACCATCAGAAGGGACCACCAGAACTACAGAATTATTGTAACTCTTCACAGCCTTGCAGAAAAACAGTTGTGCGTCACTGTGACCACGTGATTCAGTAGCTAGACTTAATTTCTGAAACCGATATTTTCAGTTAGTAGGGATGTTTATTGAACCAGTCCATACGCGGGAGAATAACACTTGAGAAATCGTTAAGCCTGAAGTGTTCTGTATATGCAAGAACAACTGCATTGTGTGAATGGACGGACTACGATTTATTCAGAAGGTACGGGTAATGTCTGAGCCAAATAAGAATATATTCAGCATCTGCTGTAATGTATGTAATTAAACTTCGCTCTGTGTTACTTATGAAATTCATTATCACTGCAGCTGAACAGCTGTGAAATATGGTAACCCAGTGTTTACACATGTTGGAAATACCAGTTGCCAAATGTCTTTCCTGTAGTTAATAAGTTGGTATGCTTTTGTATTATGCAGATTTAAAATTTACTAACTTTATGAAACAGGAAGTGTTACATGGCATCTGTCTGTCATTTGCTTTGCATAAGGACAAAGTGTTTGGTCTGTTGCGGAAAATTTACAACCAGTATAAGAAGGCGGAAAAGAGTAAGTTCTGAGCGTTACCATACGCAATAATAAATTATATTGTAGACTATGCAGTCTAGGTACAGAATCTCTGTTATTGTAAAGTGTCCTGTAGAATGTTGTCTACATAATAGGATGTTGTGAAGTTAAAAACAGTATTGTATTTTAACACGTTCACTGCCACCTTGATGGTCGATTTTTGCCTGGTCCATTGCCATAATCTTGTTTTACTTAGATTAAGAAAGAGTATTGTTGTTGTCATTTATAATTTTCTGAGTATGTTCGTGTTTCAACAGCGCGATTTGTTACCGGTGACCACACTGATGTAATCCAAGTGCCCAGTGCTTGTGGTGAAACAGTGTTAAATGTGTTTTGGATTTATTACTTATGGATGGTTTCCATTAGTATTGTTCCATTTTTGGTAAGATGTAGTAGATATGTTTCATTAAGGGCCATTTTAAGGCAATGGTGGGCCCTGGGCAAAGTTTCGTTTTGAAACACCACCTGCTTTGCTGCGTTAAAAACAAAGGCAATACATATGTATTAATAAAAGTAAAAAGGATAAGAAAATATTTTAAAAAGTTAAGAACTATTTTTGTTTAAAATTGTTTTTTGAAACGTAGTACTGCTTAACATTTTATAAATCCAAACCAGAAGTATGAAATACCAGAAGAACCAATATAATAAAAAAGACCGTCATGCCCCTTGTGTGTATACTTGCCAGGTATGTGAATGACAGGCTGAACTAGCTGTTACAACTTGACATGTACAGGAGAACTGTCAAGTAGTCTGTCTCACCTAAGTGCGGAGAAGAATTGTCAAAGGACTGTTATACCATGTCAACTGCAAAGGTAGCTAAGGAAAGGCAGCGCCAACTTAAGATGGACAATGATGTGAGCTGTTTTATAATTGCTTGAAGAAGAGAGAAGCCTACATTAGAACTGGTCACAAGTATTTCCATGGCTGCTACTAAAAGAAGACAAGGGAAGAACTGATATAAAGAAGATTAACAATGATTGGTACTTCAGACTAGAGGTTTTTAGAACTCACGATAAGTTTATTGTGTGGATGACAACTTACTCCTTTTATGGGACTATGCATTCAACCTGGAACAGAATTAATACGCAGCATGGATATGGTGACCTGGTTGATGTGGTAATAGTTGTATTTTTATTGAAAGGGCATTATGTATAGAGTTTTCAAGCTAAACATTGTTCTTGCTCACAAAGCTTTGGTTTTCCATGCCAAAATATCATTCTTCTTCCTCGGCTCTACAACCCAGTAGTGGGTCTTCGCCACCTTCTTTTCGGAGGTTTCTTAGTCTTTGAAGTGTGCATTTGTGAGTAGTGAATGACCAGCCCACTGACTGCACAGTTTCTACTCAATTCTGTTTTTTTCTTTTCTTTTGGTAGAGCCATCTAGTAGGGAATCAGGAATTTTGCTTACGAAATATCTTGTTCATGCTTGTAAGGTTATTTTACGTGCCGTAAATCTATAACATGGGATCACCGGCTGTACTTCTCCTTCGAAGGATGTTGTGCTATGGATTTTATCACCCTTAAAAATCCATCGACCTCGGCCGGGTTTGAACCCACAAACCTGGGTCCTGTGGCGAGCACGCTAACCACTGGTCACCGAGGGCTACGCCAAAATATCATTATGAAACTTATTTCTTTTAATGAATGGTTTAGAATTCTGTGTATAAGTCATTAAACTTATTACAATGAAACAATGTTTTATTAATCTAGGCATATGAGATTAACGTCAACGTTAAATAAAGAAAGTGTTTTATGAAAGATGTTCCTTAATAACAAAATTTATTTATAAAGTAGTTTTAGTATAAATAACACTTTGCAAACCAGAAAAGGCAGTGTTTTTGAGTTACATATACTGGCTTCTGAACGATCCGGTGCATAAATTTGTAGGTGCATATGATATTTTGACAGTTTTGTACATTATTACTGAAACTGACATGCTACAGTACCCACAAGCCTCGAAGGACATGCATGTTTGCAGTGGACATGTTGTGGCACAGAAATATGTAAAGATATTGCACACACCATTGATGGACATGGTAGTGAACGTGTTAATTACCAGGAGGAGAAATATAGTCAGATAATAGAGTAAACTTGTATATGTGTTTATGTAGTGAAAAGTGTGAATATCCGGAACACAGAGAAATTATTACTATAATTTCTTGTATTCATTAGTGGTGTGGGACGTAGAAATAATGGTTGTTAGTATGTCACTGTCTTTTTTTCGTACTGAAGCTTAATTACGTAATTTTAAATGCTTCCAATCTCGTATATTAGTTTTTGTGGAGAATTTACTATCAAGATATGTGAACACTAGCATGTAGTTTTAGAGAGCCAGTACTGGTCCTGTATTTGACAATTGGAAACGTGGGGTAACGTCATGACAGTTCCTGTAGATCTGTAAGCCATTCTGTATTTAAAATGCTATCAGTTTGTACTGCATTCCTGTTTTACTGTCTTATGCACGATAGTAGTCTGTGAGTATAGTTTCACGTACTGTTACACTAATGTTACGTGAGATACCTGTGGTATGTTTGATGTTGAAGGGTTTTCAGGACGCCTTTGCAATGGGTTTATTTTTGCCATCGGTGACCTGAATACATTCAGTAGAGGTCTTTCATAGGTAATAAGCCTTAGATGTATCACTTACTCCTCAGTGCAGTGATTGGAGAAGTGCTATTAA